CACACAGCGCCTACAGCCGGACACCCGGACATACAGACACACAGACACCCGGACACGGAGACACGCGGCCACTAAGCGCTCGCACCCACACAGCGCCTACAGCCGGACACCCGGACACACAGACACGCGGACACACAGACACACAGACAACCGAGGCCACAGTGCCCACACACAGACACACAGACACCCGGACACACAGACACCCGGACATACAGACACCCGGACACACAGACACACAGACAGCCGAGGCCACAGTGCCCATACCAAGACACCCGGACACACAGACAACCGGACACACAGACACACAGACACCCGGACACACAGACACACAGACAACCGGACACACAGACACACAGACACCCGGACACACAGACACACAGACACCCGGACACACAGACAACCGGACACACAGACACACAGACACCCGGACACACAGACAACCGGACACACAGACACACAGACACCCGGACACACAGACACACAGACAACTTAGACCACAGTGCCCACACCCAGACACCCGGACACCCGGACACCCGGACACACAGACACACAGACACCCGAGACCACAGTGCCCACACCCAGACACCCGGACACCCGGACACCCTGACACCCGGACACCCAGACACACAGACACACACAGACAACCGAGGCCACAGTGCCCACACCCAGACACCCGGACACCCGGACACCCTGACACCCGGACACCCAGACACACAGACACACACAGACACCCGAGACCACAGTGCCCACACCCAGACACCCGGACACCCGGACACCCTGACACCCGGACACCCAGACACACAGACACACACAGACAACCGACGCCACAGTGCCCACACCCAGACACCAGCCTGATATAGATAGTAAGCAGTCAGAGGAGTGATGGTGGTAGGATGTACTACAAGTGTTGGTGAGTGGTAGCGAGTGAGCGAGCGGTAGCGAGTGAGTGGTCGCGAGTTAGCGAGTGGTAGTGAGTGAGTGGTAATGAGTTAGCGAGTGGTTATGAACGTTGGGCGCTCGCGAGCGGCGTGCGTCGGTGGGCCCCGCGTGCCCGTGTCATCCCGCGTGCCCGTGTCATCCCGTGTGCCTGTGTCCCCCCGCGCAGCCCGTGCGGGTGAGCGGGCAGCACCAGCTGCTACGCGGGCGCCACTTGCTGGGCAGCCGCGTGAGGCTGCAGCTGACGCGGCGCGAGGCCGACGACGTCCACCTGTCGCTCGCGCTTAGGAACGCGGAGACGCGCGACGGGGGCGGCCGCAACTACACGCTCGACATCACGGTGAGACGCAGCGCGACGGGGACGGCCGCCTCCTCTGCCTCCTCCCTCAACCGCCGCCGCGTCCCCATCCCGAGCCTCCCGTCTCCTGTCCTCAGGCCTCCTCTTGTCCCCACCTCCTGTTGTATCGTGCACCCCGTGTCCTCCCCTCTCCTGCCTCATTTCCACGTCTTTTGTCTCCTGCCTTCGCGCTCTTCAAGTTGCCGATTCGGGTCCCGTACGACAGATTCCGCTTCACTTGTCCCACATTCCTCCACGTCCAACGTACTGTGTCTGGTGACCTGTGTCCCATCGCTCGTGTCCCCGTGTACCGTGTCTGGTGATCTGCGTTCATGTGTCCCTCTGTCTCTGCTGTCCCAATCTTGTGTGTCCGATGTCCTCGTGCCCCCCTGTGTCCCCGTGTCTCATGTCCCGTGGTCTATGCGCCGCATCTCCACGTCCGTCTATCTCTGATCCATCTATCTCTCTCTCTCCATCTCTCTCTTTCTCCATCTCTCTCTCTCTCTCCCTCCATCTCTCTCCCTCTCTCCATCTCTCTCCATCTCTCTCTTTCTCCATCTCTCTCTCCCTCCATCTCTCTCCATCTCTCTCCATCTCTCTCCATCTCTCTCTTTCTCCATCTCTCTCTCTCCCTCCATCTCTCTCCCTCTCTCCATCTCTCTCCCTCTCTCCATCTCTCTCTCTCCATCTCTTTCTCTCCATCTCTCTTCATCTCTCTCTCCATCTCTTTCTCTCCCTCCCTCCCTCCATCTCTCTCTCTCCATCTCTCTCTATCTCTCTCTCTCCACATCTCTCGCGTCCCGTGTCCCCCGAGCAGGGCTCGCAGGTGTCGAGCAACACGGTGCTGGGCTGGCGCTCCATGCTGGCGCTGAGCCCGTGCGCCCACAGCGCCAGCTCGGCGCTCAGCTACCTCGCCCGCCATGACCAGCAGGTGGACTGGACGCTGATTGGCGCCCTGGATCGCTGCAACGGCGTCCTCAACGCCGAGGTGCACGCTCACACACACAGACACAGACGAAGATCCCCCGTGTAGCCTCAACAGACTGTTGGAGCTACTGCTGCAAGCGAGCATGCACACGCGCGCAAAAAGCAATTGTAACCACACTACGACGAGTTTTCCTGTAATCCAGTGTCTCCATGTGTCACCCCACGTGTCCCCGCGTCTCCGCGTCCCCGCATTTCCCCGTGTCTCCGCGCGTCCCTGCGTCTTCGCGTGCCCCCGCATCTCTGCGCATTCCCACGTCTCCGTGCGTCTCCGCGCGTCTCCACATTTCCCCGTGTGCCCCCGCGTCTCCATCTGCCCCCGTGTCAAACCCGAATGTGGGACCTGTCCTATTCTCTTCTCCGTCCCCCTCCGTCTTCTGACCGTGACCTTCCAACTCGCCCTGTGCCCTCTCTCCACCGCCCACGTACCCCCCCCCCCCCCCCCCCACGTGGAGCAGGCGCACTCCCCGCCGACGGGGCCGCTGGCGCTGCGGGCAACGTACGCGGGCGCGCGCGGCGACGACCGCGTGTCGCTGGAGGCCACGGCGGGGCCCTCGGAGCGGCTCAACCTGCAGCTGCAGAGAACCAACAAGTGCCTGCGTCTGTTCTCCGCGCTCGCCTCAGGTGCCCACCCCCCCCACCTCGTCCCTCCCCCCCCCCCACTGCCCCCCCACCCCCATCGCAACACGGCCGCATGTGCGTACGTTGAAATTCTTTCACACCGTACGTAGCCAACCGTGCTAATCGGAGGTGCGGTTTTGAGCCTGTCGGCAGTGTTGAGTCTGTGGGCAGTGTTGAGTTTATGAGCAGTGTTCAGTATACGGGCAGTGTTGAGTCTATGGGCAGTGCTGAGTCTATTGGCAGTGTTAAGTCGATGGGCAGTGCTGAGTCTGGGTAGTATTGTGTCTATGGGCAGTGTTGAGTCTGTGGGCAGTGTTGAGTCTATGGTGCAATGTTGAGTCTATGGCCAGTGTTGAGTCTATGGGTAGTGTTGAGTCTATGGTGCAGTGTTGAGTCTATGGGCAGTGTTGAGTCTATGGGTAGTGTTGAGTCTATGGTGCAGTGTTGAGTCTATGGGCAGTATTGAGTCTATGGGCAGTGTTGAGTCTATGGGCAGTGTTGAGTCTATGGGTAGTGGTGAGTCTATGGGCAGTGTTTAGTCTATGGGCAGTGTTGAGTCTATGGGCAGTGTTGAGTCTATGACATGTAAGTGGTCTGAGTGATCGGGCCTCGCCGGGTTAATTTACGCCTGGTTTGATTGCGTGACCGGTGGCCGCTGGAGGTGACTACCGGTGTGCGCGGAGCCGCGGGTAGTGCCCGGGGTGACGCCACCACCACCACCGCCGCCGCCGTCGCCGCCGTCTAACCGAGAGTGCTGTCGTGACGACACCGGCGACGCAGGCACCAGCTCCGAGGAGGCGCACGCCTCCGCCTGCCTGGAGACGAGCACGCGGGTGCGCGTCAAGGCCTTCACGAGGCCCGGCCGGGGGCCGCCTGCGCGGAGGGGGGCGATGGCCGCATCGCCGGCGGGCCGCCTGGTCAAGCGCTCCGCCGCGTCGCCGGCGGGCCCGGATGGGTCGGGGGTCGCCGGCCGGGAGCGGCGGAGGAGCGACGGGGAACGCGTGCTGCTCGAGGCCACCGTGGAGCTGCTGAACAAGACGACGGTGCGCGTCGTGGGCCGCGCCGACGCCGACAACTTGCGCGACGCACAGGTAGGCGTTCCGCGGCCCCGCCGTGGCCCAGCGGCCCCCGGCGTCGCGACTTTTGCCGAGCGGAGGGGGAGGGACGCCCGCGGCTCACGGACGTGGCGTGCCGCCTTTCCGTCTCGTTTCGTCCAGAAAAAGCTGGAGCAGCTGGGCGCGCGGCTACGCAAGGGAGTGAAGGAGGCCGTCAAGAGGACGGAGCAGATGCTGCAGGACCTCAAGGGCAAGGTAGCGGCCCCGTCCTCACCCACCGTGACCCACGTGACCCGAGCTACGGCGCTCCACCCCTCTGCATCTCTGTGTCTCACCCTCCCCCCCCCATGTCTCGCCCGTGCCTCCCCATGTGTCCATGTGTCTCACCGCTCATCCTCATGCCTCACCGTGCCTCTGGCGCCGCACAATCTCGTCTCTTCTCGGAGGTCTCCGTGTATCTCCCCCTGTCTCTCCACTATATCCCGTGTCTCTCTCCCCACGCGTCCCCGTGTCTCCGCTCCATCCCGTGTCTCTCTCCCCGCGCGTCCTCCCGTGACTCCCCGTGACTCCCCGTGCCTCTCCGCTCATTCCCGTGTCTCTCCCCGTGTCACTCCCCCTATCTCTCCGCTCCATCCCGTGTCTCTCTCCCCGCGCGTCCCCGTGTCTCTCCCCGTGTCTCCGCTTTATCCCTGTCTCTCCCCGTGTCTCTCCCCCTGTCTCTCCCCCTGTCTCTCCACTCCATCCCGTGTCTCTCCCCGTGTCTCTCCCCCTGTCTCTCCGCTCCATCCCGTGTCTCTCCCCGTGTCTCCGCTTTATCCCTGTCTCTCCCCGTGTCTCCCCCCCTGTCTCTCCCCCTGTCTCTCCCCCTGTCTCTCCACTCCATCCCGTGTCTCTCCCCGTGTCTCTCCCCCTGTCTCTCCGCTCCATCCCGTGTCTCTCCCCGTGTCTCTCCCCGCGTGTGTGTCCGCTCGCGAGGTGTGGCCCCAGCGCGTGCTGGCGCGAGCGACGCGCCTGGTGCTGGAGCGGCTGCTGCTGCTCGAAGCGGCGGCGGTGGGGGGGGCGGCGTGGGGGGAGGGGCGCGCGCGGCGCTCCGCCCACGCCGCGTGGGAACCGGCGCGGCGCGGCTTGGAGCTCGCCCGCGGTGAAAACCACGACCACGACAACCACGACAACTACAACCACTACAACAACTACAACAACCACGACAACAACTACAACCACTACAACCACTACTACAACTACTACTACAACCACTACAACAACCACTACAACTACTACAACAACTACAACCACGATAACCACGATAACCACTACAACTACAACCACAACAACCACGACAACCACAACAACCACTACAACTACAACCACGACAACCACTACAACCACGACAACTACAACAACTACAACCACAACAACCACGATAACCACGACAACCACGATAACCATGACAACCACTACAACCACTACAACCACTACTACTACAACCACTACAACCACAACAACCACGATAACCACAACAACTACAACCACTACAACTACAATAACCACAATAACCACGATAACCACGACAACCACTACTACTACCACTACAACTACGACCACTACAACCACAATCACGACAACCACTACAACCACTACTACTACGACCACAATAACCACGATAACCACGACAAGCACTACTACCACTACCACTACAACCACAATAACCACGACAACCACAACAACTACAACCACAATAACCACAATAACCACTACAACCACTACTACCACTACAACCACGATAACCACGATAACTACAACCACGATAACCACGATAAACACAACAACTACAACCACTACAACCACGATAACCATGATAACCACAATAACCACGATAACCACGACAACCACTACAACCACGATAACCATGATAACCACTACTACCACTACAACTACAACCACGATAACCACGACAACCACTACAACCACGACAACCACTACAACCACGATAACCACAACAACTACAACAACCACTACAACCACGACAACCACTACAACCACGATAACCACGACAACTACAACAACCACTACAACCACGATAACCACTACAACTACAAACACGACAACCACTACAACAACCACTACAACAACTACAACCACAACAACCACTACAACTACGATAACCACTACAACTACAACCACGATAACCACTACAACTACAACCACGACAACCACTACAACTACAACCACGATAACTACGACAACCACGACAACCACAACAACCATGACAACTACGACAACCACGACCACTACAACCACGATAACCACAATAACCACTACAACCACGACCACTACAACCACTACTACCACTACAACCATGATAACTACAACCACGACAACCACTACAACCACGATAACCACGATAACCACGACAACCACTACAACCACAACCACGATAACCACGACAACCACGATAACCACGACAACCACGACAACTACAACCACTACAACCACTACAACCACGATAACCACGATAACCACTACAACCACAATCACGACAACCACTACAACCACAACCACGATAACCACGACAACCACAACAACTACAACAACCACTACAACTACAACCACGACAACCACTACAACTACTACAACTACAACCACGACAACCACAACAACCACGGCAACCACTACAACTACAACCACGACAACCACTACAACTACAACCACGATAACGACGACAACCACTACAACCACTACAACTACAACCACGATAACCATGACAACTACAACCACGATAACCACTACAACCACTACAACTACAACCACTACAACCACGACAACCACTACAACCACTACAACTACAACCACTACAACTACAACCACTACAACTACAACCACTACAACCATGATAACCACTGTAACTACAACTTCGACAACCACTACAACTACAACCACGACAACCACTACAACCACTACAACTACAACCACTACAACCACTACAACTACAACCACGATAACCACGACAACCACTACAACCACAACAACCACTACAACTACAACCACGATAACTACGATAACCACGATAACCACTACAACTACAACCACGACAACCACTACAACCACGATAACCACGATAACCACGACAACCACTACTACCACCACAACCACGATAACCACAACAACCACGACCGTAACACCTGCCACTGCAAGCACCACAATCGCCACTGCAACCACTGCCACCACCGCAACCGCAGTAACCACGGCAACCACGACCACCGCAACAACTGCCACCCCGACAACCGCCACGAACTCCGCCTGGCCTCCCATGATGGCCGACAACAATGGCGCCATAGATTATAATGATACTGCAGTTTGATCACATTTATACAAAAAACAACTTCGTTCGACTTAAAGCGTATGTCAGTGTGTGTGTACGTTGTTGGCGGCGCTATGAACCCGGCGACCCGAGTTCGATTCCCGCTCACGACCGACACTAATGACGATTATCTGAACCGGTCCTGGGCCTCCCCTAGGTCGACTCAGCCTCAAATGAGTACCCGGTGCGGTGTGTAAAACATCGCAACTGGGGAGACAAAGGCGGCCGGGCGTGGTGCTGGCCACCCACCCCCTCGTGTGCCGTGCCGGCCTTCATAGGTGCTGCTCGCTAACAGCACTTGCCCCAACAGTCTGTTACAGGCTACACGGGGGATATTTGCCTTTGTGTGTGTGCAGAGAGGCTGCGCAGTGCATGGGACCACTGGGCCGAGGCGGCTCACCTGGCCGCGGAGGACGCGCGCCGCCAGGCCATGGAGAGCCTGCCCACGGCCCTGGTCGCCGCGGTGACCGCTAACGAGACGCAGGACGCGCTGCAAGCGCTCGGCGGATGGGGCCAGGAGGTTCGTGGACGCACGTGTGCGCGCACGCACGCACACGAAGACAAAGAGTCCTCGTGAAGCCCTAACAGACCATTGGGGCAAGTGCTGTTAGCGAGCGGCGGCTGTTAAGACCGTCACGGTACACGAAGGGGTGGGTGGCCAACACCACGCCCGGCCACCTCTGCCTCACCACTACTGATGGTCGTGAGCGGGAATGAACCCGGGGGGCATCTGGTTCACAGCGCAGCACGTTAACCGCTGCGCTACAACGCATGTGTAGTGGTCGGTGTGTGTGTGTCACACACAGTCGGAGAGGAGGTCGTTGCAAGGAGGCACCTTCTCTTTGATTCCGTTACACCACTCCGGCCGTTGACACTCACACGGATCGCCTCCTCTCTCTCGACCACGTTGCCGTACAGCCCGGCCTAGACACAACCCTGACCGCGTTGCACCGACGGCGTCGACCGAGACGGCCAACAACTGTCCGGCCGCGCAATGATTGGGCGAAGGCGGCAGCGACGATGAGACGAGTCCACTCCCAGTACCGGCAGCCCGGAGCTCTCGCTCTCCACTGCTTTTATTCTACTCGGCGCGGCCTGGCCCCGTCCTGGCCGCGCCTCCCTTCTCGAACCCGCTAGAGGGTTCCAGGGGCTTCCCGATGAGGTCTTCCATGACCCTTGCCCCAGTTCCTCCGCCCTACCGGCACACACACCCGCGTATTTGCTCGACGGCGTGTGCGCTAACTGTCCACCGCAGTTGCCGCTGCTGGACAGCAGTCGGCGCTGTGTCACTACACACGCACACGGACGCATACCTGCTGTGTACTGTGTTGGACTGCTATGCATGCTGTGAATACTTTGTGTACTGTGTGTGCTGTATGAACTGTGTGTGTGTGTGGTCTGTGAAGTGTGTGCTATGTGTACCGCGTAATGTGTGCGATATGCAGTGTGTGTACTGTGTTTTGTATGCACTGTGTGCTGTGTGTACTGTGCGTGTGCATAGGCCGTGACACACCTGACGACTTGGGCTCAGCGCCGCCTCATGCAGGCGGTGCGCAGCATCAGCCATCCCCTACAGGGCGTCTATGAGCTGCAGCCACAGTGAGGTCATGGGGTCATGGGGTTATGGGGTAATCACCCCCCCATCAGCCAAACACTAACCTTCATCCCCCTCCCCCGGCTCTCATCACCTGGCCGCGGTGGCGAGATGTTAACTACCTCGCCTCGTATACGGGAGGTCGTGGGGTTCGATCCCGACCCTGACGCCTGCTGTATATTTGGAGTTTGCGGTGTCTCTCTCCCCGTGGTAGCGTGGATTTTTCTCCGTGTCCTCCCGGTTTTCTCACTCCACGTTTAGAATCAACGTCACGCGCTTAACATAATTTGGCTGCTACGCGTTCCCACGTGATGAGCCCACTTCGTTGAGCTATCATTTGTGATGGCCAGGTCGCCCCTGAAAGAGAGCTCCGTAGCTCCGTGGGCTTTACCTGGTAACATTAAAAAAAAATACTTTAACACTAAATACCCTCCCATCGCATGCCACACCCCCTGTGTCTACTATATCCACTGCATATTCCCTAACCCCTCTCCTCCATCTCTCCTGACCCCTGTGCCTCCCCCTGACCCCTACGACCCCAAACATCTTCCCCTGTGCGCCCCCCCCCCCCAGCGAGCACCGGCTGTCGGCGTGGGTGCCGCTGGACGTGTCGACGGGCGCGCTGGCGCTGCGCGATGCCGCGCTGAGCAGCGACACGGCGCGGTGGCTGCGCTCGCTGAGCCCCAGCGCCGAGCTCTACCGCCTCAAGCATGAGCTGCTGGGGCAGCCGGCGCACGGTCCGTCGCCACCGCGGGCCCTCCCGCCAACACCACCACAGCCGCCCCCCACCCCCCACGCTGCGTGTGCAACCGTGTGTGTGTGTGTGGGGAGCGATAGTGTAGCGGTTAGCGCGCTGCGCTATGAATCTGGCGACCCGGGTTCGATTCCCGCTCACGGCCAACACCAGTGACGATTATCTGAACCGGTCCCGGGCCTCCCCTAGGTCGACTCAGCCTCAAATGAGTACCTGGTGCGGTGTGTAAACATTGCCACTAGGGAGACAAAGGCGGTCGGGCGTGGTGCTGTCCACCCACCCCCTCGTGTACCGTTCCGGCCTTCATAGGTGCTCGCTAACAGCACTTGCCCCTACAGTCTGTTAAGGCTACACGGGGGGGATCTTTGATCGTCGTGCCGAGCGCCACGCTGGGGAGCGGTGGCGCGGCGGTCAGCGCGGCGGCCTCAACATGGCCGCGTCTGCCCCCCCTTCGCTCCGCCCCCCCAACCCCCCAACCCCGCCGTGCCCCCCACAGCCCAGGCAATGCTGCTGAGCGGCGGGCGCCGCGTGCTGCAGTTCGACGGCCGCTGGCTGGCGCTGCCCGCGGGCTGCGCCGTCCTTCTGGCGCAGGACGTGCGCCCCGACGCCACGTTTCGCGTGGCGCTCGCGCCCAGACCCCCCCTCCCCGGGGACCCCTCGGAGGACCCCTCCCTGCTGGTGACCATGGGCCCCGTCACCCTGCTCATCCACGCCAACGGCACGGTGAGACCTCTCCCCCCCCCCAACCTCACCGGGTGACGGTGGATCCCACAGAGATCCGGTGAGGGTGAGTAGGTGTGTGGCGGGGTGCGGGGGAGTAGTGTGCGTGACGGTGGTGTGGTGCTAACGAGGGTTATGGGTATGCGGTGTATGGTGTGATGTGTGTGTCTGATGGTCTGTTTGGTGTGTACGGTGTATATATATATGGTGTTCGTGATGTGCGTGGGCTGTGTGTGTTGTACATGTGGTGCACTGTGTGCGTGAGGTGTGTGTTGTATTAATGGTGTGTGTCAGTGACGTGCGGTGACGTCAATGGCTGGGGAGGCACTGGCCTAGTGTCAGAGCCACACTGAAGGGGGCGTGGCCTCACGGAGGGGGCGTGGCCTCACGGAGGGGGCAGATGTGATAGCTGCCTCCCCTGGTGCTTTCTCATTGCAGTTTCATGACGAGACCAGCGAGCCTAAATATCTTTATACACATACGTGAAATAAGTTACCTAGAGTATGGAAGGCGAGGACATGAAATGAAGGGGTCTACAAACATCACATTGGCGACATACTGAGATAGTAACAGACACGCGCTTATTGCCCGCGCTCCATCCAGTTACTGAGGGGTTACGCAATCACAGGGGAGGCTGAGCTCGTCGCTGCCTCACCTCTCGTCTCTTCCCGTATTTGCAGCGGAGCTCCGCAAATTTGGCGATTTTGACTTTAAAAATGATTGTAATCGTACAGAAATGACATTTATAACACAGATCCGTTTGAAAAATCTTATTATTTCGTTTTTTTTACTTTTCGTAACAGCGATTTTCATTGGAGTATGACAGGTGAGGCTCTGCCTCCCCTGCCTCCCCTGACCGCATGTCCCTGGTGTGTGTGTGGGGGGGGGGGGGGGTGTATGGTGTGTACATGGTGTGTACATGGCACGATTCGCGTGTGCAGGTGCTGGAGGGTTGCCGCGTGCTGGATCTGCCGGCGCGCCGAGCCGGTGGCGCGGTGCTGGTGCGGCGCTCGGCGGGGGCGGTGGAGGTGTCGGGGCCGCGGGGAGCCACGTTGCGCTGCGACACGGAGAGCCGCGTGTGTAGCCTCACGCTCGCCTACTGGGACCACGGTGAGCTGCCCTCCCCACGCTCACCACGCGCCCCTCCCCACGCTCACCACGCGTCTCTCCCCACGCTCACCACGCGTCCCCCGCCACGCTCACCACACGTCCCCTGCCACGCTCACCATCTCCGTGGTTGATGTTGATGTCTCGGTGCTGGTGTTTGATGGCTCTCTGTGTGTGGTTGATTGTGGATTGTGGTGGATTATGGTTGATGGCTCTCTCGCTCTCTCTGTGTGGGTGATTGTGGGTGAACACGATTGATCGTGGGTGATCATGGTTGATTGTGAATGATCGTGGCTGATCGTGGTTGATAGTGGTTGATCGTGGGTGATCGTGGGTGATCGTGGGTGATTGTGGTTGATTGTGGGTGATTGCGGTTTATCGTGATTGATGGTGCGTGATCGTGATTGATGGTGGTTGATCGTGATTGATAGTGATTGCTAGTGGTTGGTAGTGGTTGATCGTGGGTGATTGTGGGTGATTGTGGTTGATCGTGGGTGATCGTGATTGATGGTGGTTGATCGTGATTGATGGTGGTTGATGGTGGTTGATAGTGGTTGATCGTGGGTGATGGTGATTGATAGTGGTTGGTAGTGGTTGATGGTGGGTGATCGTGGGTGATCGTGGGTGATTGAGGGTGATTGTGGGTGATCGTGGTTGATCGTAGTTTATCGTGGGTGATCGTGGTTGTCTCCATGCCGCTCCCAGCGCGTTCGGTTGGGTTGTTCGGCACCAATAACCTGGAGCCGGCGGACGAGTGGACGACGCCGCAGGGCGAGCCGGCGGCCAGCTCCGATGCGCTGGCGCTCAGCTGGCAGGCACGGCCAAACCAGCCATCAGCACCGCACCAATACACCCCACCACGCCTTTCATCCTCACCACACTGTTCAGCCGCACCACACACCCACGTGTGTGTGTTTGTACGTGTGTGTGTGTGTGTACATGTGCCTAAGTCCCCGTGTGTGTAAGTCCCCGTGTGTGTGTCCGCGCGTGCGCGTGCAGGTGGGAGGGCGGTGTGAGCCAGTGGAGGAGCGGCCTCTCTGCCCGAGTCGCCTCTGCCAGGAGCTCTTCCTCGACTCCTCCTCCTCCCTGGGCAGCTGCTTCCGCGTGGTGAGCGCTTTCCCGCCTCTGTGCTGCCCCCGTGCTACCCCCGTGCTCCCCCCGTGCTCCCCCCGTGCTCCTCCCGTGCTGCCCCCGTGCTGCCCCCGTGCTGCCCCCGTGCTGCCCCGTGCTCCTCCCGTGCTCCCCCCGTGCTCCCCCCGTGCTCCTCCCGTGCTGCCCCCGTGCTGCCCCCGTGCTGCCCCGTGCTCCTCCCGTGCTCCCCCCGTGCTCCTCCCGTGCTCCCCCCGTGCTCCCCCCGTGCTGCCCTCGTGTTCACCCCGTGCTCCCCCCGTGCTCCCCCCGTGCTGCCCCCGTGCTGCCCCCGTGCTGCCCCCGTGCTGCCCCCGTGCTCCTCCCGTGCTGCCCCGTGCTGCCCCGTGCTGCCCCTGTCTACTTGGCACTGCCGTCTGTGACACTGGCGGGCCCCCTCCCTCCCCTCCCCCCTCCCCCCTCCCCTCCCCCCCTCCCCTCCCCCCTCCCCTCCCTCCCCAGGTGGACCCGGCGCCGTTCCTGTCGGCGTGCGAGGAGGACGCGTGCCGCGAGCCGGGGCCACGCGCCGCATGCAGCCTGGCGGCCGCCTACGTCGCGCGGTGCAGCCATCAGCACGTGCCGCTCGTCACGCCCGCCACGTGCGGTGGGGACCCCCCACCTGTCCTGGTTTGCCCCAGGATCTCCCTATTGTTGTTGAGGTAGTGATCGATAGCTGTCCCGGGATATCCGTAAGTCCTGTGAGTCCTCCTGGGATATTGGGTGGGTAAGGTGGTTGGGTGGGTGGGTTAGTGGTAGGTGGTGGGTTCGTGTTTGGGTGAGTGAGTTAGTGGGTAGTTGGGTGGGTTGGTGTTTACGTGAGTGGGTAGGTGGGTGGGTTGGTGTTTGGGTTAGTGGGTGGGTAGGTGGGTGGGTTGGTGTTTCGGTGAGTGGGTAGATGGGTGGGTTGGTGTTTGGGTGAGTGGGTTAGTGGGTGGGTAGGTTGGTGGGTTGGTGTTTGGGTGAGTGGATTAGTGGGTGGGTAGGTGGGTGGGTTGGTGTTTGGGTGAGTGGGTTAGTGGATAGGTGCGTGGGTTAGTGGTTGAGTGAGTGGGTTAGTGGTTGGGTAGGTGGTTTGGTTGGTGTTTCGGTGAGTGGGTAGGTGGGTGGGTTCGTGTTTGTGTGAGTGGGTTAGTGGGTATGTGGGTGGGTTAGTGTTTGGGTGAGTGGATTAGTGGGTGGGTAGGTGGGTGGGTTGGTGTTTAGGCGAGTGGGTTAGTGGATAGGTGCGTGGGTTAGTGTTTGAGTGAGTGGGTTAGTGGTTTGGTAGGTGGTTTGGTTGGTGTTTCGGTGAGTGGGTATGTGGGTGGGTTGTTGTTTGTGTGAGTGGGTTAGTGGGTAGGTGGTTGAGTTGGTGTTTAGGTGAGTTGGGTTAGTGGGTGGGTAGGTGGGTGGGTTGGTGTTTGGGTGAGTGGGTATCTATTATAGAGTTGCCATCGAGTTTTCCTAGGATTTCCCAGGATTTGCCTTCCTCTCCTGGTAGCCATCCTGGGACATCTGTAAATCTTCCCAAGGCATTCAATGTCCCAGTTTTTGTCAGTCGCATTCTCATACCCCGCCCCTGTGTCCCCCTTTGTCCCCCGTTGTCCCCCGTTGTCCCCCCCGTGTCCCCCCGTGTCCCCACTTTGTCCCCCGCATGCCCCTGCCAGCGACCCCAGCGAACGATGCGAGGCTGCGGCGGGCGCCGTCGGGCCAGGAAGAGGCGGCGGCAGCGGCGCCGTGCGAGGGCGACCATGCCGCCACCGTGGTGCTCGTGCCGGATGAGCGGCCGTGCCAGCAGCTCGGCGGCTCCCCCTGCGGCATCCGCGCCGCCTGATGGCTCTCCTCGCCACCGTTTACACGGAGCACGGGGGGCCCACCACTGCCTTGTGCCCCCCTGCCCCAGCAGCCATGCCCTCGCTTGGCTCGAGGATTGCTGTGTTCGTGGAACGTGGCCTCGCTCATCCCCGAGCGCCGAGAGCCCTGCCGCCTGGCTTCCCTGCCCCCGATTTTCATCCCTCTTAATCCCTGCCCCTAATTGCTATGCCCCAGAATTCCCTGCCTCTGGGTTTTCTGCCCCTGATTTTTAGGGGTGCCGCAGTGGCGAGATTTTAACTACCTCGCCTGGTATGCACGAAGGGCGTGGGATCGACCACGACCCTGACGCCTGCTGTATATTTAGGAGTCTGCGTCTCTCTCTCTCTCTCTCCCTTTGGTCACTTGGATTTTTCTCCGGGGTTCTCCGGTTTTTCCCTCCACATTTAGAAACAACATCACGCGTTTAGAGTATTTGGCTGCTATACATTTCCACGTGGTGCGCCACTTCGTTGAGCTATTCTTTGTGGCCAGGTCGCTTCTGAAAAAGAGCTACATGGCTCAGTGGGCCTTACCCGGTAAAATAAAAAAATAGATCATATTTTAGTTTTATGTCCTAAAATTCCCTACCGCTTAGTTTCCTGCCCGCGAATTCCCTGCACTTGATTTATATGCCCCAGAATTCCCTGCCGCTTAGTTTCCTGCCCGCGAGTTCCCTGCACCTGATTTTTACACCCCAGAATTCCCTGCCGCTTAGTTTCCTGCCCGCGAGTTCCCTGCACCTGATTTTTACGCCCCAGAATTCCCTGCCGCTTAGTTTCCTGCCCGCGAGTTCCCTGCACCTGATTTATACACCCCAGAATTCCCTGCCACTTAGTTTCCTGCCCGCGAGTTCCCTGCACCTGATTTATACGCCCCAGAATTCCCTGCCCTGAAGGTTCCCCGCCCCTTTATTTTCCCGCGCCAGAGTCCCTGCCGTCGGGCAGATTTTGGCGATAGTGCGCGGCGTGGCATGACTTTGCGTTAATTTAAACGTTGCGTTTTCCGCATCCGCTCGGTTGTTTACGTCGAGTGTGGTTTTTGGTTAAAGTGGCATTTTGTGAACCCGGTCGAAACGGGCGGCGCGTGGGTGGGGGGGGAGGTACGGTGGCGGGCGGTATGGGGGGGGGGGTATATAACGTTCTAGAACCGGTGGCGCACCTCGGCTCGTAGTCTCGAGCGCACGAGTTCGACACCCGGCTGGGGACTTCTTCGGCCAATCATTCATTCCTCCAGAGACCGCAGAATGTGTCGCTGCTCCAGTGAGAAGTCGATCGCCGTTGTCGTTTAAAGAGAGATAGACTGGCCCCTGCCATAGGAACATGGAATGTCTACCGCTGGCTCAATTCATCGCCTCTCTTTTCTTTACACGTTTTTTTGTGGTGCATGGCACGGGGGGGGGGGTGGGGGGGGGTGCCGGTGGAGGGGAGCTGAGGGCCCCCTTCCCCCCGCGTGGGGTTGTGGATTTATCTCGGATTAAACTCGGATCCATCTCCTCCCCCCGCTCGCCGTCCATGGCTCGTGCACTCACGCGCACACAGTACACGCACAGTACGCACACACACAGTACACGCGCACGCAGTACGCACGCAGTACGCACACACAGTACACGCGTGCACAGTACGCACACAGTACGCACACAGTACACGCGTGCACAGTACGCACGCAGTATGCACACAGTACGCACACACAGTACACGCGTGCACAATACGCACGCAGTACGCACACAGTACACGCGCGCACAGTATGCACACAGTACGCACACACAGTACACGCGCGCACAGTATGCACGCAGTACGCACACAGTACACGCGTGCACAGTACGCACGCAGTATGCACACAGTACGCACACACAGTACACGCGCGCACAGTATGCACGCAGTACGCACACAGTACACGCGTGCACAGTACGCACGCAGTACGCACGCAGTACGCACACACAGTACACGCGTGCACAATACGCACACAGTACGCACGCGCGCAGTGTGCGCACAGTACGCACGCGCGCAGTGTGCGCACACAGCATGCACGCACGCACAGTCCGTACGCAGTAAGCACGCACGCACGGTACATGCACACACGGTACATGCACACACGGTACACGCACACACGGTACACGCACACACGGTACACGCACACACGGTACGCGCCGCGTGCGAGTAGGGTGCGAGTGGGGTGGGTGCGCGGTGCGATTTGTTGTTACCAGCGGCACAGCAAACTTGGTATTCCCACCTGTTCCATCCGTATGAGATGGGAGCGTTGCTCCCGCGGAATCGGATTTTCCCTGGTTCGACCGGTGTCTTCCCACGCGCAAACAACAACAACAACAACTCATGAGTCGACCAACAGGCACCTCCGCGCGTTGAGAACCGGGCAAGGCTAGGATGATAAGACTGGCGCGGGCTTCACGTCTGGAATCCTTTGCCGCCTGGATTCCTTTACCCGCCCGTCTGTGGTTCCTCCTCACGCCTCTTCGCTCCTCCAGAGTGAACACTCGCGCCTCCGATTAGCACGGCTGGCTACGTACAGCGCGAAAGAAGTTCAGCATATGCGTACGCACGGTGCAGCACATTACAAGTTCGTGCATTGGGATATGACCCCCCCCCCCCCACAGGCAACTCTAGTTGGCAGTGATATCAGAGCTTGTCGGTCGACTCGGCCTTGAATTAGTAACCTGGTGTCCACGTGTAAACATCATCCACTGGGGAGATAAAGGCGGCGTTTGCTGTGCATCGGCAGAGGAGGCGAAACGGGCATCGGCACGGGCTTGGAGAGGAGATGAGGCTGCTGTGGTGCGCTAGGAAATCGGCCACTAGCAAGGGAGGATCGAGGAATGGACGATGCTGGGCAGTGCCAGGTTAGGTGCACCGCGAGGCTTATTGGGCAGCTTGAGGCAATCGCCATCCGACAACGGCGGAGGAGCGACGCTCGTTGGAGCGCCGGGCGGATAAAACGCAGTGGGGAAGCATGGGTGGTGCATCTTGTCAAGGAATCCCTGTTGAGTCAACCCATAGGCACCTGGGCGTCACGTGTGTAGGTGTGTATGTACGAGCGTATGCTTGCGTGCGCGCTGTGCTCCGAACAACGGTGCACCCGAGTTCGATTCCTGCTCAGGGGCCAAGACCAGGTGACGATTATCTCTGAAGCGGTCCTGGGCCTCCCCTAGGTCGACTCAGCCTCAAATGAGTACCTGGCGCGGTGCGTAAAAACATCGCCACTGGGGCAGACGAAGGTGGCCGGGCGTGGTGCTGCTGGCCACCCAACCCCATCGTGTCCCGTCGCCGGCGGGCCTCTGTAGGTGCTCGCGAATGGAGTGCGCGCGGAGTGTACATCGAGTTCATGTTGGCCGCTTATCGCAGCCAGCTGCTCTTTTCCCACCAGCGGAAACCGCGGACCCAGAGCTACCCAAGTACGTGCCCAGACCCAGGCGCACACACACACACGCATAAGATATCGATCCGTACACACACACAGAGAGTCCCGTTAACACGTATAACTGACTACGCACACGCATATACGCTTAGACACACACACGGGTACACACAGACACGGACACACACACAGGCGCGGATAGTCGGGTACACTTACAGAGACACACTCCGCACCTACATAGGTCGACACACACACAGACGCGCATCGACGCAGCATCAGAATACTGGAGAAATACGATGAGCTATAAAGCTCTTTTCCACAGATGTCCGGGAGGGGTGTGTACGTATTGACACGGACACACTTGAATACATAGACAAAGACACAGACACGCGGGGCTGCTGAGCGATGCAGCTCGCGGTGACAGCGGCAGGAGCCGCCACTCGCCTGCTACAGCTGCTGTTGCAGCTGCTGCAGCTGATGGTGCTGGTGGTGGTGCTAGTGGTGGTGGAAGCGCCAGCGGTATCCACCAGGGAGCTGGCGAACTCCGCGTCCCACGGTACGGGAGGTGAGTCGGGGGGAGCAGGGGTCGGAGGATCGGGAGCCCGATGCGTGTGTTTGTGTGAGCCTGGAGTATGTGTGTGCGTGTGAGCCTGGTGTGTGTGTGTGTGCCTGGTGTGTGTGTGTGAGCCTGGTGTATGTGTGTGTGTGAGCCTGGTGTGTGTGTGAGTCTGGTGTGTGTGTGTGAGAGTCTGGTGTGTGTGTGAGAGCCTGGTGTATGTGTGTGTGTGCCTGGTGTGTGTGTGAGCCTGGTGTGTGTGTGAGTCTGGTGTGTGTGTGAGCCTAGTGTGTGTGTGTGTGAGTCTGGTGTGTGTGTGTGTGTGAGTCTGGTGTGTGTGTGTGAGAGCCTGGTGTGTGTGAGAGCCTGGTGTGTGTGTGAGCCTGGTGTGTGTGTGTGTGTGAGCCTGGTGTGTGTGTGTGAGCCTGGTGTGTGTGTGTGAGTCTGGTGTGTGTTTATGTGAGCTTAGTGTGTGTGAGCCTGGTGTGTGTGTGAGCCTGGTGTGTGTGAGAGCCTGGTGTGTGTGTGAGCCTGGTGTGTGTGTGTGTGAGCCTGGTGTGTGTGTGTGTGAGCCTGGTGTGTGTGTGAGTCTGGTGTGTGTGTATGTGAGCCTAGTGTGTGTGTGTGAGCCTGGTGTGTGTGTGAGCCTGGTGTGTGTGTGAGTCTGGTGTGTGTGTGTGTGAGCCTAGTGTGTGTGAGCCTGGTGTGTGTGTGTGAGCCTGGTGTGTGTGTGTGTGAGCCTGGTGTGTGTGTGTGAGAGCCTGGTGTGTGTGTGTGTCTGGTGTGTGTGTGAGAGTCTGGTGTGTGTGTGTGAGTCCCTGGTGTGTGTGTGTGAGGGCTGGTGTGTGTGTGAAAGCCTGGTGAGTGTGTGTAGGTGAGGGACTGGTGTGTGTGTGTAGGTGAGGAATTGGTGAGTGTGTGTAGGTGAGGGACTGGGGAGTGTGTGTAGGTGAGGAACTGGTGAGTAGGTGAGGAACTGGTGAGTGTGTGTGTGTGTAGGTGAGGAATTGGTGAGTGTGTGTAGGTGAGGGACTGGTGAGTGTGTGTAGGAGAAGGACTGGTGAGTGTGTGTAGGTGAGGAACTGGGGAGTGTGTGTGTGTAGGTGAGGAATTGGTGAGTGTGTGTGTGTAGGTGAGGAATTGGTGAGTGGGTGTAGGTGAGGGACTGGTGAGTGTGTGTAGGTGGGGAGGAACTGGTGAGTGTGTGTGTGTGTGTGTAGGTGAGGAATTGGTGAGTGTGTGTAGGTGAGAGACTGGTGAGTGTGTGTAGGTGAGAGACTGGTGAGTGTGTGTGTGTAGGTGAGGAATTGGTGAGTGTGTGTGTGTAGGTGAGGAACTGGTGAGTGTGTGTAGGTGAGAGACTGGTGAGTGTGTGTAGGTGAAGGACTGGTGAGTGTGTGTGTGTAGGTGAGGAATTGGTGAGT